TTCGGCTTGTGAATGACATAAAATCGTTGATTTTGGTCATAATTATTCAAAAGTACTCCTTTTGGCCAAATGCACCTCCAATTTTGTAATGGTTCCGCGGCCTCTGAGGAGTGTAGCCACTGTACTCTTCGACAAAACGTATCGGCTGACACAAAGTTCGCTTAGGTCTTTGCGCCATCTTGCTTACGTATTAAGTGACATATTGCGCGTTATTCACTGTACGCGGGGCACTTGACACAAGTTGACTCAAATGTTTGTAATAGTATTATGGAAGTTTGATATGGGTGGCGGCGGGAGGCGGAAGGAAGCAGAAATGCCGACGTTAATGAAGGTAAGTTTGTTTTAAATATTAATGTATTAATTGTTTGCTTTGTAATCCCCAAGCCAACGGCGCGGAGCGCCGTGTGAGGGTACTAATTCCGCCCGGCTATTTACCCCCGGGGAAACGAAAGCATTAAATTAGCGAAGTCTAAAGTTCATCATTAGACAGATTTAGAAAAGACGACGCGACCTCGAAGACGACGTGGATGTCGACATTTGGCGCCAACTATCGTCAGCTTCTGGTTTGCGACATCGTCTTGAACGATTTCACGACGCGAAAATAAAATTTTCACGTCCTCTCTAGAACGTCACACTATTTATGCTTCTTTTGAAAAAAATATGAGACTTTGCATTATAAAAATCATCCTATTGTGTTCCCTATGTATATTGTTTAATGGTTCTAGTTAAAGTTTTTTTGTTTTTCTTGTATTTCGCTAAATTGTGGCGTGTTGATTTTCGACATATACATTCGGTCGCCATAACAAATCAACAAAAGTGCAAGCATTGTTAATAACCACTTCTATATATACCGCTAGTATTCTTCACCAAAACAAACATTTTAGAACAAACTAAACTGCGGTGACATTAACAACTGTTTAAAATCAGGAAACCTTGAGAAAATAAAAGAATAAAAGCACTTCAAAGCAGTAAAACTCGATCAATTTTAGTTGCTCTCTCACAACAGTGCAAAAAAGTAGGACAAGTAAAAAAACCGTTTTCCAGCGTGAAAACTATCGTATAAACAGTATTAAATTTTACCAATATAAACACTGATGCAATATTTATACTGAACAGTTAACAATCAGAATCAGAATCAGTTTTATTTACACTTATTTCTTTCTTACAAGATTAATATGTATTACTAGTATACTATATATATATATATATATATATATATATATATATATATATATATATATATATATATATATATATATATATATATATATATATATATATAGGATATTAGACGGTTGCGAAGAGATATGGATTTTATGTTCGAGTGGCAAAAACAATATCTCACGATTGAGCGCAGCGAACGAGTGAGATATTGTTTTTGACACGAGAACATCAATCCATATCTTCTCGCAACCGTTTAATGTTCTGTTTATTATATGGACTTACTCAGAGTGACAAAAATACACACAAAGACGACATGTAAATAAGCACGCGAAAGACCAGTATAAAAGCGATATTTTTTAAAATTATAGTGCGTTTATAAAACTAGAATAAATTTTACTTATCTCAAGATGTCTTTTAAATGTTTTCGTTTTATTTCCAACGTTAATTTCGTTTTATATACGAACCAAAGACCATTTGTATTTTCAAAACAACAACAATGAAAATGGCGGGAAATTTTCAGAACTTCATATGTCACTAGCAGGGGTGAAATACGGAAAATACGCGCATCTGGCCCCGGATGTAGTGACGTATGAGTTCTACGAGTGTATTAGTTTCCAGCAAAACACCATTGTCCATATAATAAATATATATATATATATATATATATATATATATATATATATATATATATATATATATATATATATATATATATATATATATATATATATATATACTGACCTAGCTAACGTTAAAGGGACACTCCACCCCCAGAACAAGTGTCGCTCATAAGAAAGCTTTATATGAGCCTACCTGGGAATGAATATTCGTTCGCCTCAATTCATTTTCGTTTGCGAGAAATTTAACTTTGTTTCACTGATTTTTCGTCCATTATCGCCGCCATGTTTGTTGAATCCGCAGGTGGTCCTATGAGTGTCGTGACGTAAGTCTGTGATAGAAACACATTGTATAATCAGATTTGCTTCGAAACAAATTGTATAATCAAGCTTTAGTCTTTAGAGTTCCTTTTAAATATTTTTTAACGGAAGATGCATGGTTCCTGAGTGTATAATAACAACTCGCGGAAAACTGTGGGAATCAACTACTATACAGGGTGTATCAAAAAAAGTAAGACAATTTTGAAATTGCTTTCAATTCCACAATTCTGTTCATGAAATGTAATTTTTGCTATGTATGGATTGCTTGAGTTCTTAAATTGTGGAAAATATAAAAAATTTTGAAAATAGTAAATTTTGCTATCCGGGGGGTGGTCAACTTTTGCTCCCCTAAAAGTGGCTTGCGCACGGAAATGACAAACGGTATTCTTTATTTGAGTTCATGTATGAAAAGTTCGCTATTTGTTGCATTTATGATAAAATTTCGGCAGGATTTTACCGAGTACAAATCCTCCGAAAAGCCTATGAAAACGTTACATTTTTCTCTGTTGGTGTTGTTCTTGCTTCATTATGAATTCATTTTTACTCCCATGAGAGTTCCATATAATTTCCATGGAATTTGTGCTTTGGAGTTGTTTGTGCTGAAACACATTTTTTTGTATAATACCCCGTACACTTTGAAATGGCGATGCCACAACCCCCGCAGCAGAGAGCTTTTATGGTATCAGAGTTCCTCCGTGGCAACAACATAAACTTGGTTCGCCAAAGTTTCACGAAAGAATATCCAGATGTACGATGCCCTTCACGTGCGAATACGTGAAGGGCATCGTACATCTGGATATTCGTTCGTGAAACTTTGGCGAACCAAGTTTATGTTAATTGTTTTTGTTTGTGGAAACACCACGTAAATTTATTACTGCAAAGCTTTCCATCCGTAAGCCCGGATCTTCATCAGTGCTAATAATATGTGTAATATCACATATTATTAGCACTGATGAAGATCCGGGCTTACGGATCGAAAGCTTTGCAGTGATAAATTTACGTGGTGTTTCCACAAACAAAAACAATTATATTTTATCGCCATGCAAACATTCAAAGAACTTACAAGTTTATGTTGTTGCTACGGAGGAACTCTGATACCATGCATAAAAGCTGTCTGCTGCGGGTAAATTGTGGCATCGCCATTTCAAAGTGTACGGGGTATTATACGAGAGAATGCGTTTCAGCACAAACAACTCGAAAGCACAAATTCCATGGAAATTCCACGGAACTCTCATGGGAGTAAAAATGAATTCATAATGAAGCAAGAACAGCACCAACAGAGAAAAATGTAACGTTTTCAGGCTTTTCGGAGAATTTGTACTCGGTAAAATCCTGCCGAAATTTTATCATAAATGCAACAAATAGCGAACTTTTCATACATGAACTCAAATAAAGAATACCGTTTGTCATTTCCGTGCGCAAGCCACTTTTAGGAGAGAAAAAGTTGACCAGCCCCCTGGATAGCAAAATTTACTATTTTCAATTTTTTTTATATTTTCCATAATTTAAGAACTCAGGCAATCCATACATATAAAAAATTACATTTCATGAACAGAATTGTGGAATTGAGAGCAATTTCAAAATTGTCTTACTTTTTTTTATAGTCGATGCTTTTCTTCTCAATAAGACAACAGAAGGTAAACTAAGTAAAATTATTTATTTTCAGGATCGTTTTACAGCATGGACATGCTTGAAAAATTCTAGTTGCCGAAAAACAATTTTGTAATTACGACATTTATAAAAACAATTTTGACCGAATTAAGCCCACTAGGAATCGTCCTTATAAACCGCCATTTAAGCTATTATTTTACAATTTTATGTTTAAGGCAAGTTGTACCTTGCAGTATTTATATTTATACGTATATTTTCGAAGAATAGCTGAATATATGTGAAGCATTTGAATCATAACTTGTAGAATTGGACAGTGTTTTTTCGATGTTTATATTTGGGTTTTTTTTCGCATTTTGGTCAGAGAAAAGTACATTTCGGGCTTGGTACTAAGTCCATTAAAGTAACTAGATTCACTGTATTTTACTATCTTTAGTATCGATGGCGTTGATTTTTCGATTTTTTGGGTGGTGTTTTGAGTTTGAAAATTGTCTTCGCTCCTCGGTTTGTCGTTAAAAAATAACTCTTTTAGACCACGGTCAAGACATCGTAAAAAGCTGCCCGCTCCTGCAGCCAATCAGATTGCTGGAAATAAAAAATATCACTAGGCATGCACAAATATAAAATAAGTTACAATATCATTTCAAAGGTTTTTAGGAATGAGATGCTAAAAGAATTGAGGTTAGGTGCACTTTAAGGTAGCATCAAGATAGACAACGACCAAACAAAAAATGATACAGGACAAACAGGCAATATTTTTTCGCCGCTCCCACCTTAAAGGCCCAGCCATACTACACAACAAACAACAACAATAACAATACGATAATCGTTATCGTCCGGCTGAAAAAATCGGTGAGCGATTTTAAAATCGTTATCGTCAAACGATAATTTATCGTTTTCGTTGTAGTGTGGAAACCAATATAATTTTTTGACCAAACATCGCGTGCATGTTTCCAAGTTATCGTTATCGTTGTGTAGTGTTAACTATGACCAATTTATCTGCGTGCAAACTGTCATTATTCAAGGTCTATCCAGTTTTTGGGCAGCAGAATTTGGGTTCTGGACTGCCGCCTCTAAAATCTCGACTCCCATACCCATTGCGAGAGCCTGGAATACAGTTTGCGGCGTCGAACAACTTCCAACCGCCCCAGTCTCCTTCATGAACGACGCGACCTATTTCTGTTAGCCCCTCTCCACAGGAAGTAAACATCCTTGAAAATGAAAAAAAAAAGGAGAAAATGCTCATTGGACTGGTGTTTTTGAATTATCGCATCAAATTGTACATGTCAGAAAGACTGAAATTCAAGGACTTTTCAAGGATCGCATTGTTTATGAGGTCTTCTAATGTTAACTCAAAGATATAATAGATATAGAATGTGTACTCCTATCTTTTCTCAGTAAACAGTTTGTCTCCACAAAATGACGGATTTCAAAAGGCATTTTGACTCGCACCAGACTCCTGCCACAGGGAATTTTGCGCCGTTGCGGGGAGTGCGAAACATTGAAATGTTACTCGATTGTTGCCGTTTTTTGTAAATGCGCAACTGCTGTTAAAAATTGCCTTCGAGCCTTCAAAGAACCTAATATTTTTAAGCCATTGCTCAAACTGAAAGTTAGAGAGGAAAACAAAACTTTTGGATGATGAAAACTTAGTTTTAGCTTTGTTTATACTCCTTTATACTCCGTTTATACTCCGTTTATACTTTAGCTTTGTTATATAAGTGATTTTCACTCCTAGTCAATTTCAATATGGCGGATTTAAAGGGGCATGAAAAAAGGGGAGATATGACTTGTGATCAAGTACGCATTCTATATCTACTAGAAATACATTTCCCGAACATTTTTTAACATGAGGTATTCTAAATTACGCCACCATTGAACGCAGGCTCGAATCATGTTAGCCATGGCACAGATTATAGATCATACCAGATGTCTCACTCAACAAAAATTGTTTCCCAGATTTTTTATACGCATATGCGTTGGCCGCCATTTTGGCAGTAAGTGTAACCCACGCGCTGAGCTATACGTATTACTGGAGGACTTGCTCGGCTTGTTCGGCTCACAAAATAAGACGAAATATGATTGGTTAGGAGGTTAGGGTTAGGGATGGAGATTGAGTGAGGTTTCGTGATTGTGTGACATGAAAGCATAACCGCCATTTCCATGACAACACGTCACTTACTTTATTCTCATGGTAACTGCCACTGATCAACCGCGAGTCTAAGCTTCCGACGATGTACTTAACCCCCCTGGTTTTTGCACAGATATATTGTTTTTGAGCAAAAAATCTTAATATTTCCCTCTCACATTACTTGTTTTGCAACGCTAGTTTGCCTCGCTTTTGGATGCAGCACTTTACTACAAAGAAACTAAAAAGAAAGACTAATTCTTTCAGGTAAGATTCGCGAAACATTTTTTATATTAAACTTTCTAGACGACTAGTAGACTAGTAGTCTGAGACTCTGAGTCACTAGACCCTTCCTATTATGTCAAAAACTCATCATCCTATTAATACATACAGCAAATATTTCAATATGGGACATAAAAATATTGTTAATGATTAAATATTGTCTATACTACATGAAATTATGTTGTTTTTGTGTCAGCACTGGCCTTTGTGGTTTTATTGCCAGATTGCCAGTTTTTAGTGTAAAGTTTCATTTTACACTATTGTAATGAGTGGCGAAAATTCACACGATTCGGTCGGTCGGTCGGTCGGTCAGTCAGTTTAAAATCTTTATTACCTCCAATTTCTGAAGAGTATTTTTGCAGAATAAAAAAAGAATTAATTACAAATTCTTACAAAGAATTAATTACAAAAAATTAATTAATTAATTAGTATAATTTCAGTTTCTAGTTATATTGAAATAACGGTTCTATTAAAGCAATATGAAATATAGTTGGCCGATTTTAGCAAAAATGCATTTCTCCGTTCGTTGTCTAAGCCCAATGTCTCTCTATTTTGTCCTAGTATAGTCAATATAAAATCTGAGCCAGACAAGGCTACTAAATTAACTGTTGGTTCAATTTCAAAATTATCTACTATCCAGTTCCACCAGGTACTCCCTCTCATTGTGTGAGGCTAAACAGTACAACAAGGCGTGATTTACAAGGTTAACATAACTTTTTTGACATATTTCGCAAAAATCTGTGTATACAACTGGGTTACAAACACGTTTCCCCCATATCTTATATGATCCACAGAGCAGTCTTATGACATTAGTTATTTCAAGTAGGTTCTTGGGATACTCTTCTGCAAGAAGCCACCATTCAGAAATTTCGTTGTTAGTATTGACCTGTGAATAGAGATATAACTGTTTGTTTCTTTTAATTTTCTCTTGCCAAACGTAATTGTATTTTTCATATACACGCAGGTTAACAATTTTCTTCCAATTCTTCTTCGTCGGAAAACAGTTTGTTGAGACAAATTCCATAAAATAATCCAAAAGGTCATATTTTGTCAAAACACACACTATGTCCGGTACAAAGCCGGTCATGTTGTTTCTATGATTCCATTTCCAACGAGCCAATCTGATGAACAAAACACGTCGGCATAGTACACCAGCCCTGATATTTATCAGTCTTCCCAGGAAATAAAGTGTACGCCTATCAATTTCGGCTTCGATTGATAACATTCACTAGAGTCCCCTTGCCGCCGAGCCAGATGTGCCAGGGAGAAGGCCCTGTATATTACGAAGCATAATATTTTGGACCCGTTCCAACTCAATCAGATCGTTTTTACTCAACTTCCAAAGTTCGGATACGTAAAGAAATTTATAGGAATACCAATCCGCTTCCATAGATAGGACGCAATGATAGGATTCAATCCACCATACCGAGATCATTAGGAAGAAACATACCTCCCTTCCTCTACCAACTGCGTCTAAAACAGCTGCTGAAGAATGTTTGTTTATATTCCAGATTTTTCCCAAATTTGACCATGTATCCTTTTCACTTATATCCAGTGAGCCAAGTTTCCATTTTCTGATAGCACAATTTGTGCCGTGCTCTTCCTGCTTCTCACCATAAGTTACAACAACAGTTTTCTTAATATTAAACGTGAATTGCCATTTGTCACTATATTCCCACGAGTCTGTAACATTTTGTCCAGCCCTGATTTCTTTCGCGGGAGCATAGTCAAGTCGTCTGTAAACATAGGCGTTCCAAGACAAACAGTATTCAGAGAAATCCCAGCGTTCGTACGCTGCATCTCCCCAATCAGGTCATCAATAAAAACCAGATAAAGCCATGGCGAGAGAACACCCCCTTGCCTTGTTCCTTGTTGAATAATGTATGTTCGAGAACTTTTCCCTTCAATACGCACAAACTCTGCCATATCAATATACCAGTTTCTAATAAGTCGCCAGGCTTCACCACAGATGCCTTTGTTATGATACAATTTAAAAAGCATAAAATTGATCCCCATCGTGTCAAAAGCTTTACTAATGTCCATGTAAGCAACATAGACTTTTTCATTTTCTTCCAAACATTGATTAATAACTTCTTCAATCGTGAAACATGTTGTTAAAGCATCTTGCTGCTTTTGATAACCCCCCTGGAGGGGGTGATGTAGATATATCGGTTCCTTTAGTAGTCTTGATAAAACAATTCGTTCAAGAATTTTATTTATACTTGATAGTAAACTTATCCCTCGATGGTCGTCAAATGATCGAAATTTTTTATTTCCTTTTGGGATCGGGATTTTAATTGCCAATTTGAAACAGACAGGAATTTT